CCATTTCAGTTTGTATTCGTCGTTAGTCTTGGTCTATTTACCCTAAATATCGAAGCCTAAGTAAATTCTTGAATTATCCTTTGCCAGTTTGTTTTTTTCAGTGTTCTCACAACCACTTGCTAGATCAAGAAATAAGAAGGACACCCTAACGTTTTGGTCCAGTGGGCATCCATTTTTCAGGAAATCCAGTATGGTATTTTTCTTGTAAGATGGGGTGTTTCTACTTTCCATATAATACCAAATACCAAATATGTCATACTTTGATTGGAAATAATTAGCCTAAAAATACTTTCTTGGGAATGTATATTTAAAACAGCTAAGTCTCTAACTCAATATCATCCAAAATCTTCAACATTGAAAACACGATTTATTTGTCAAATTAAATCAACATTCATGTTGTGATCTTACCGGAAAAAGATGGGCTTTTGATATCCAATATTTAAGACAAAATAAACATTTTACCATTGGTACACGAATCGTGTACCATAATGCGCTTCAGCCCCAGTTGTATCAAGAGACTCGAGGGACGAGGCTAGACACATTGCACCAAATCAAACGGCGTATGTAGACTGGAATAACCAGACGCTAGAAATTTGCACTCGCTTGAGACTGCTGGCTTATTTCGCCAAACATAACTGATTTGAAATTAGAGTAAAAACCGAAACCATTGAATGTAAATCAGTTTATATACATTCATATTACAGTATTATATGCGTTGCGACCCACTTTTGTCAATTTCTAGGTCCCAAATGTTAGCGATTTAGCTCCTTTAATCCAAATCAATCACACTCATTAGTAACATGATTATTATGTAATAACAATTACATGTTTACTAGTGAAAGTTCATGAAAACTTGGCTTATTTATTCTCTCATACAAGTCTGGCCATAAGCCACCCTTTTTTATTAATCTTTGTAATATACATCCAGTACAAAATTACATATATGACATTATGACAATCTCCAAACATGTACATATTATGTAGAAATCTTTGACTTTCATTATTTGCTGTACATGTAGGTTATCAAGGGTAGTGTTTCATATGTACAGTGATTAACCTGTAGATATCTTGTTATTAAATTACAATATTGATTATTTGCTGCGTAGACTCAAAAACTAATCAAAGAATTTGAAAATCTAAGGCAAAACCAGCCAGATTTAATCTTCTGATTGATACATGTTAAAATAGAACTGAAATAACAGCATGTCCTTTCAAACAGTAACACTATATTTGTATCTTGACTTTTTTCTGGTAACTGTTTAAAAAAAAAAGATTTAAAACAAGTCATTTCAAAACGTGATTGTGAGAAATTGCTTTCTGTTTTATTTGCTAGCTGTTTTCTTGATCAATATACACTGACATTAATCAAACTTTTTACTTTAATGTTAATGGGAAAATGGTGTCATTTCAGACACTACCAATAAATCAGCGTGTTCGTGCAAGAAGGTAGATTGTTTTTTCATAAGTTAATGAATAATGGTACATGTACATGTTTGTATTCAATGTTAATATATAATTAATATGTAGAACACTTTAAAAGGTGCTTTCCGACATACAAACTGCATGATTTAATGATATACATGTACATGTATTTGGACTAAAAATATATTTAAACTAATCAGTATTTTGCTTCAATCCCTCTTAAAACATTTTAATTGGAAGAAAACTATCCCTAGCTGCAAAGTCTATTTTAAGCATCCTTGTTTGTCATGTGACTTGATTGGGGAGAGGGTCCATTTTCAGCTCTTATACAATTTGTCATTACTGGGTCTGGCTGTCCATTTATATCAAATATTGAAGCCTAAGTAAATTCTTCGATTATCCTCCACCAACTTCTATTTCTACCATTTATCACAAAGTCTATTCTATCTATGCCTTCGAAAAAATGTTGACCAAATTTGTTAAGGATATGCCTTCAAGAAATCTAACCTCTATTGTGTTCACCAAAGTCAAGTCTTTCCAAACACATAATCTCTGGAACAGAAAGTCCTACAATGCTGAAAATCGACAAGTGTTTATCCTGTCCAATCCCAATGCTTGAAAAGAAATATAATTCATCCTCTAATAGTCCTAACCCTTCACACCAAATTCTTAAAAATTATGTTTTAATTGTAACCTCTAACACAGGGGGGTAAGAACTATATAAAGCCTTTATCAGGTTCACAAATCAATTGTTGACTTGAGTTTGTAAATGAGCATAACTAGTATGTTTCAACTCTATTATGCAACCTTATGTTTTTACGAATTATAAAATGTTGCTAGTATTAAGTCGATATTTGTAATCAATCCCATTATTTATAGCCCTCTTTGAGAATCATTAAGTGCATTTTTCTGGTAGTTAGTATTGAATTCTCTCTATAGAATAAATTATTGATTGCAACACAAAGAAGAATTATGCATGCAAGCAGCACTGTTACTTGTATGTACCTGTAGGTGCAAGAAGTCTGGTGCTAATCAATTAATTACAAATTATAAATTACAAGCGAGGTATTATATGATGTCCTATTTTATTTGATAGTTCATTTAATGTAATAGTGAGAGAGAGAAATGGAGTATAACATCCACTCAACACAAACTAGGTCATTTTGGGACTAATGCCTCAATTTTATTTCATCTATTCGCTTGTCGTACGGGTCTTTAGCAGTGGGAGGAAACCGGAGGACCCAGAGAAAACCCACAGGGTTAGACAGATTATACTACTCCTTGTCATGTACAAGCGGGGAATCGAAACCATGCCTTTTGACTCAATGACAGACCTTATGATGCCACACGCACGAGTTAAAGGACAATATTGGTGCCAGTCATTATCACGTATGCGATAGAGCTGGTTAAACACATTCCAAATATAATTTTAACACAGAGATCATTGCTACGATAGCTGAGTAATACAGGTTTCCTGAATCGGAAGTGATGAGCGCCAAAGGAAAACACGAGTCATCTCTCTATATAACTGATGTGACGAGTGATAACAGATACACGGCTGGATTTCTGCTCACTAATAATTCCATCAAAGACCAAAAGTTGGTATATGGGACTGTAAGAGGATATCTGACAATTCAATAAAGTAATTGAATGTCATTAGATAAGAGAACACGCGAAAAACAGAAATAGTCTGTACATTCCCTTGTTTATATTCATTCTATACCTTATAAAAACATGGTAATGCATGGACTTTTTCTGTTTTTCTTTCATGTTCACTTATCTAGTGGCAGTCAATTCTTTTTATGAATTGTCAGATATCCTCTCATAATCTCACACAACAACTTTTGGTCTTCGAAGGAATTATTAGTGGGCAGAAATTTGCCGGTATATCCGTTATCATTCGTCACATCAGTCAGTTATATAGAGAGATGACTCGTGTTTTCCTTTGGCATTTGTCACTTCCGATTCAGGAAACCTGTATTACTCAGCTATCGTAGCAATGATCTCTGTGTTAAAATTATATTTGGAATGTGCTTAACCAGCTCGATCACATATGTGATAATGTCTGGCACCAACATTGTTCTTTAACCATTCGGTCAACTCCCCTCGCATAATGTATTAAGCTTATAAGAAACAATGTATCAATACTATTACTATCTTCCAACTTGAACAGGAAAGGAATATAATAGGGTTTAATGTTTTGTCCACACAATATTTTGGCCACCTTCATACCAACATAGGGTAATTGAGATTCTACGCTTATAATTACAGAACATGAACATTGCAAGGGGGGGGGGGGGGGTGCTAAGGCATTTCCAACTCCCAAGGGTTCTTTTAAGTGCATGCAAATTTATGGCAAATGTGTATGATGGTGGACCTTAGGGGTTTTTTTTTATCTCACTGTTAAAGGAATAGACACATCACATCAGCCTCCCTCTCCTGACAAGTGAATACATGGTTTCAAAAATTCTGGGAAATTCTAGTCAAGAATTGACTGCACCAAACTTGATCCGATAAGGATGGTTAATTGTTTATATAAGATAATGAATGGCATAATACATGTAGTTTGAAGAAAAATCAATGATGAGTTAATATGGATACAATGTACACAGATGTAACTGATCACCTAATACATAGCCTTGTCAATTCCTTGATAATGACTAGAGAAGCCTAGTCGAAACGTCGCTCAGTAAAAAGCAGTAATTGTATTCCATAGAATTGTGACCTGTATACAATTCCTTGTTCTAGTATTATTATTATAGACTCTATCGTGATCAGACAGGATATATATTGATGATACTACACACAGTAAATAATGTACATGTATTGTAGTATCATTTCTAACATCATAAGTCAATCAGTACTTGTCCTAAAACACATGCAAATTTCATAACAAAAGAAAACAAAGCAATATTTTATGTACTTTACAAGCCTGTTATACTCTTATATTATGTACATGTTGACAGTTTAAAATAATTTTCAGTAAAGAGTGGATTTTTTTTTTTTTCGTAATTTCTTACTTGCAAGATACATGTATGTGTGCACCGAATTGATGTACAAATGTACCAGTAATTGAAATATTCTTCTAAGTAAAAATTATTAAATCAGCTTGCTTACATGTCTGATAGTGATGATCATGACTGATTGATGTGTTCAAGTGATTATTGACAGAAGATCTATATTAAAACATGTGTACCAGCCACTACCGACACAGTGACTTAACTGAAATACAATTCTAGTTCTAAGTAGAAATTAATAAATAAGCAGGCTTACCTCTATTTCTACTGATAACAAAGATTTATTGGCTTGACAGATGTTTGACATGACAAACATATATTTATCTCTATATTAAACCATATATTCTAATAATACTATTGATCATTGATAGGCAAAGTTAATATTGATGTAAATTGTATTATATAAGAATATTGTCAATGATGTAATTGACATTTGATGTGTCGGATGTAAGCAGATTAATTATCTTCGCAGGCCTTCATGCTGCCTTCAAAGCAGCTAATATTCTTTTTTAACTATCTGTTCCATTTCACAAATTAAATTTTAATACAGAGATTTCTTACCGAGTAATTACAGTGCTCATTTATAATAATTCTGCTGGAAAAACTTTCATTGTACGCTGTGATTTTCAGTGTTCGGTTTCGGCGGTCAAGAGCATTGGTCTGAATAAAATAGACACAATCAACACCAACAATCTGGAAAGTAAAAGTTTTAAAGTCATTTCAGAGCTTGTATTACAGAAACACTCGTCACTCAATGGAAAGAAAGAAATAGGGTTTAAATGGCCTTCTTATCTGAACCAACTCCAATGGGACTAACAAAGATGGGCATTACATATGTACATGTATATTATGTGCAGGGGTGCCAGAACCCAAGTACCAGGGTATACAAATGGTACCCTGCCCTTTTCTGGGGTATAAAGTATACCCATGCCCTAATGATGAAAGTTTTCAACCTTTTGCTCATGATACGAAAATTGTGAATAATCAGGCTTTTGTCTCTTCATTATGAGATATTTTAAAGGGTTCTTTGTTGGAATTTGGAATGCTAGAGGCGCTCTAAACAGCATTCTCGGCATTGACCAATTTCAAAATTTTCTAGAGGCCAGGGGGAGAGAACCCTCTAACCCCCCCCTATATTTTGGTACCCTGACCCTCGCACTGTTTCGGCGCCCCTGATTATGTGCACACCAACATGTACATAGTGTCCTTGCCACGTCCTCCATCCTACACCACTGACATAAGAAAACCATACTGGAAAATCCTGAGGAAATGTCTTAAACAACACCGGGATCGAACCCTAGCCCTCCTGATTGGTGACCCAGCATTTTACTCACTGAGCCACCATGGATCCCATCACTCACTGTTGTCGCTGGACATACTGAAGGCAGGCACTTCTGATTGTTAAATGTTGAACACCCCACTAACAACATTCACAATGGACAGTCATGAAGTAATAATAAATAACATACATACATACATGTACATGTAGTTATCTAAAATCTAACACTAAAATCAAACATAATTTTGAATCATGACACTACCTTTTTAAGAAGATATGGAGCATCAACATTCAAGCGACATTTTCTTTCTATCGTCTCTTCTGCACCATCTTCACTGTGATATTCTGATAATATTTCACTGCCCAGAAAAACAGGAATCATTTTACAGGTTGGAAATCTCTTCTGATATGCCTTAAAAAAAAAAAGAGAAAAAGCATGTTCAGTTTAGCCAATTACATAAAAATCCTCTTTTAAATCTAATTCCTGATTATCCAAAGTCTAAAATTCCACAGGCTTCCAGTTTCATTTCCCAATACATGTAAGCACGGACTTGATCTGTAATTCTAATAGAGTAGTGTATCAATTCTCAATCAAATACATGTACCTCTAACAGTCTTAGTTTTTAACCTACATGTAATTATACATGTACATGTAATTGAGGATGCTTGTGCAATAAGGTGAACAAGTGCCGTTGTTTTTAAAAATAAGATCATTTGATTTTTTTCAAATAAATCCATTTTTAGCAGATTTTCTTAGCAACTTGTTGATCTTTATCATTTTAATCACAGTGTATTTAAATTTTATTGCTTTGGTCTAAAAGTATGCAAAATACTATTTTTGGCAGATTGTGTGAAATGGCACATGTCCACCTTATTGCACTAACATACTCAATTCCAGATGAGGTTAATACCATGTCAACGTTCGAGTTGATACATGTATATCTGTCTCATGCTATCACCAAAATACCAGGCACCAAAGCTATTGGTCATTTTTTAAAAAATGATTATGATTTAGCAGCCTAGTTTATATAAGTAGAAAATGATGATACATGTAGTAGCGTATTTGTATCACATAATAAACTGGGCAGTGTACAAGTACGGTACTCCGAGGGGAAGTTAAAGGAGCTAAATTGCTATTCTTTGGAACCTAGAAATGGACACAAAGGGGTCGCAATACATGTAATATGAATGTACATGTATATAAACTCATTTACATTCAATCGTTTCTGTTTTTACTGCAACTGAATGGTAATCTTCCTGTGTTGGATAATGGCGCTCGAAAGCATTCTGGAATGCAATTCATGTGCCAAGTTTAAAACTTTCATTGTGTCTTAAATATTGGATACCACTACCAGAAGCCCATCTTTTCACGGTAAGGTAACAACATCAATGTTGACTTACAGAAAGTGGCTCTTAAAACGTCTTGAATTCTAGGAATATACGAGAAAATGCAAGATTGTTTTATTGCTCCATATTAGCTGAAAGTGTCAAATCAATTCTGGAAAAGTGAGGGAATTGAAACAATGTTGTGCATTTGATGGCTCTCTTTTGGCTCCATGTCGGGGTTGGTGTACATGTACATTTACATGTCACTGTCAGGGTGGAAGCCTTATGTCATTGTCAGCGCGGGTGCATTATGTCATTGTCAGCGTGTGTGCATTATTTCATTGTCAGCGTGTGTGCATTATGTCATTGTCAGCGTGTGTGCATTATTTCATTGTCAGCGTGTGTGCATTATTTCATTGTCAGTGTGGGTGCATTACATTTCATTGTTAGGGTGGGTGCATTGGTATTATTGTCAGAGTTCGTTATTTACAGTTGTGCATCTACATGTACATGTGATCATCTGTCGTAAAAATGACAATTAAAATATAGATACCGGTGAACTAGTGGACCCGCGAACTAGTAAGCATTCACGCTTTGTTTATTATCAATCATAAAAGTAACAATGACAATCAACGCTACAGACGCTACAGTGTTATTAAAATGAGGCTTTCGCGACTCATAGTGAATTAATTTGACTGAAATTTTCAGCATATTCCCTTTACATTATTTATTTTTTAACTATTATAGCAAGATATTTTGATTTATTTTGGAAAAAAAACTTTATAACAAATATATAATACTGATTAGACAATTCATAATAAAACACTTGACTTATTTTGTATAGGACCAGAACAGTAGGATGTTAAACCCTAAAATAATAAAACAAAGATTGCTGTTTAAGTTATTTCACATGATATATAAATAAATCTGGTATCAATACTTTTAATAAAACAGAATAAATTTATAATAATACAATTAAAAGATGGATACCGTAATCTTGAAGTAATTTGTCATATGCCCGGAACAAATATTTTAGATTTGGTATATTTAATTGGATATGGGGGTTTCAGATATCCAGTCTTCAGTCCTTTTAATCAACTTTTGGTGGAAGAATTACTTTGTTAATATACAGTTAAACTATCAAATAATAAAAAGAGATCAATGGCAAATGATCTATCAAAATTCAACAATGATATTTATAAGTGAAACTATTTGAAGGTAAAAAAGGCAGAGCAAAGCAGAAAAGCAGCATTATAAACTGTGACAGGCAGGACAATTGTGACAGATGGGACACATTTCAAATTCAATTTTCACTTTGATGATTCATGTTATATAATGTAGATCTAATCTAATTATTTGTATATCAGCCATATAAAGGAGGAGATACATTGTACATGTACATGTAGCTACATGTGTTACTATTCAACTTTTAAATTAAATATTACCCAGTTCTGTTAATATCGCACACGTGACAGATGGGACAATAATTTATTGTTACGGTTTTCAGCTTGAAAGATGCCTTAAAGTAGCTTTAACTTGGTATCTTCTACAGTCTTCGACATTGCAAACACGAATTGTTGGTCAGTTTAAATCAAAATTGATGTTGTTACCTTACCATGAAAAGATGGTCTTTTGGTATCCAATATTTAAGACACATTGAAAGTTTCAAACTTGGCACATGAATCGCCTGCCAGAATGCTTCCGAGCGCCATTTAACAAGTATCAGCCACAGTCTTCGACATTTCAAACACGACTTACAAAAGATAAGTTTTTTAATGGAGTAGGTCAATATCCCATAGGTTTCTCCTTAAAAAATAATAGTTTTATGGTTTAGGTTTAATTTTAGTGTTTGTTTTTTTTTATAAACCCGGGATCAGCCATTATGGGGCTACAAAGAGTGTTAAAATGGACACAAAAATTATTTTTGAATTGAAATATATTACAAAAGCCTTTACTGTCCCATGAATGTTTTTGTATTTTAGAGACATTATGTAGGTAGTCTTGCAATATCACAAAAGAAAATTATGGGATACCCAAGGCTTTTGGAGAAAATGACCATTGAAAAAACTCGAAAATTCAATGGTACAATATGTTGAAAAATTAGAGCATTTGAAGGTGGTCACTAAAGAAAGTCTTGATTTTTGCCTGAATCTTACAGAAAGTGGCTCAAGCCAATAGATAGCAATCATATCCGCAACTGTTTCAACTTCTTACTCATATTCAAAGAAAAATTTAATCCACTAAATTCGGCCAAATTCGCAACATTGTTGCTATTCGTCTCACACTTTCCTAAGGGTCAGCAAAGATTCCTCATTCATAGGCCATGCACATGTCATGAGTGCATAGTTTTGAAGCCTTGTAAAACCGCTGACAAAATGGCTACTTCAGCTGTAGCTGTGCCAGGGGTACTGGCAGAGTCCTATTGCTTGAAGGATATAAATACCATTAGGCCCCTACCAATGTACATGTAATAAGAAGACAAGTACTATATGTGCACGCCAATGTGTACACAGGAGCTTATGTTTTTGTCCCATCTACAAGTACATACATAATCATACTGTATTAAGAGGAAGATGGCCGATAACCCGACATTTTAACCCAACAATATGACAATATGAAAATCTTGTATTGTCGGGTTAAAATGCTGTAATGTCGCCTTATGAAGGACGACACCATGACATGATACCAATCAGCCACCATGCTGGCTGGGTTTTTTATAACCATATTTATAGTATTTCTCAGCGGACTAGAAAACGACCGATGAACTGCAGATCGGATTCAAATCTGTCGATTAAGGTCTTGTCATGTTAATAAATGTCTTATTAATAGTTTATACATGTATAACATTTAAAGCCTAAAGAAAGACCTGCAATAGGCAGATTTAGCTCAACCTGATCTACAAGTAACAATTCATGTACGTATCTACTGTCACCACCCTTCCACAAGGATGCATGTAGGTAGTGTAACAACCGTTTCACCTCTGGCTGTTTCATCCCAACCTATTTTTTTATCGGGCCGTTTCATCCCGGGCTGTTTCATCTCCCTTGTTATTATAATTAACTCAGAGTTGTACTTATCGTTAAATAAACTGTTAATAAACACTTACTTATTGTTAAATAAACAATAATGTATGGAATAAATAAGTTTTACTCGTCGTTTTTTGTTGATTACCGATCACCAACGGGATTAGTTCACCGCTGTATATTCGTATTGATTGTTAATTGGTGTTATAATTTTTGATTTTAGGTCAGTTCACCGACGTTTTTGTAGTTAAGTATATTCGCAATTTAGATTAGTTCACCAATGATTTTGTAATAAAGTATATTCGTATTGTTTGTTAGTTTATGATGTCTAACATCATTTATCTTCATAATAAAAAGGTATTTTATAATTACATATTGACAGCTTAATCACTCACCAAAATACATCATGGAGTCTACGTATTACCCAAAATTCAACTAAATTGCGCAGAAGCCCCTTTTAAATAAGACAAATTAGATTGATATTATTTCGAAACCATAATTAATTTTAAAACTAATCGACAATCGTTGATTTAATTTCCGTACACGAAACTCTGTTATAAATTATAAAATAAATCGTAAATTAATGGAACCTGTTGTAAGGTGGCTCTGCATGCTTTCTTTTAACGTTGTTTGGAATGAAACAGCCCGAGATGAACAGGTAGTGGGATGAAACAACCTGCTCCATGTAGGCTATGTAAAGTGAAAATACTTAAAATATTATTTAAAAACAACAGCACTTGTCACCTTATTCCACTAGCATCCTCAATTATTAATTCATTATTATTCAATTTTAGGTTTTACCCATTCATTCAATAGATACTAATTAAATAACATCTCTCTATTAATTAATGCTGCTTCAAAAGTTAAACCCAATAAATTCAAATTCCCATTCACCTCACTTTGAGTAAGAGTAAACAAAAATTTAAATCTAGTTCACACCACCACATTTTAAAAATCGACTACTTTAAAGGTTCTAAAACGTAGGCCTATATATATCTAAATATAAAATAATAGGATAGGCTTACATGTAGGCTACCGACAACAATGCAAGTCAAATTTGACATTCAAATGAAAATCAAGACTTCAACTTGGTTGGATGGATTCTTGAAAAAAATCTGTAATACTTACAGCCATTACAATTTCGAATGGGTATTTATAAACCCTTACGGGCGATTGGTATTTCTGAACCATCCTGCGTCTACGCAAATGCCCAACAAAACAATTAACACCGCTTATTGTTAAATCACAACATCTTGATCATTGACAGTAAAGTCGACATCCGCAACTCACAACTTCTCTGCTTTGCGCATGTCAGATAAACAATACACGATTATCCAGCTCGAATCATTCGTCTTGCTGATCGCGACTCAAAATGCATTCGACACCACCATCGTGTTTTTCTTCAGTCAGAATGCGAGCCCTGTAGTTCAATCGGAAAGTGACAGTGAAATTGATTTGCAGAAAGCAAGTATAATTATTTTTGACAATAATTTGTTCTTGAACTAACTAGTAGTGTGTCACCCATGGGTTTTTCTTATTTTTCTATAGCCTCTATATCAACAACAGTCACATTTACTGACCAACTAGAAATTTACAAAATAGTGAAGACATTTTAACTTCAAGATTTATTTTCACTCGTGAATTCGATAGAGACTATACATATGATGCACTTTTATTTCAATAATTCGCTTGCGCGTAGGGTCTTTAGTAGATAAGAAAACATATCTCTCAAAGCTCCGTGTTTCGAGATAAGAGATGGTGCTATATAGATCCAACTGGCAACCACCATTGCTAATCACATCGGGTAATTTCAAATAAGAAAAAATGACATTTTTTTCTTTAAAACAACTATTGATTATTGTTATATATAACATTTCTGACACATCCAACTACAATTAAGCATATAACCCTACCTGACACGGGCACACATCCCCTCTATTAAATCGAAGCGATAATAGATTGCTCTTCCCGACATTTTAAATTTAACATTTTTACCTCACAAAGGCGGGGTTTCGCGTACTAAAGGCACCCAATCGTGGCTAAAAATAAGCACATCATTTATCCCGTAGATAGGTCAATCCGGAGAACCCGGAGAAAACCCACGAGGTTGGACAGGCGACCCTACTTGTCACGTTGACTCAATGACAGGTCTTTTGATACAACGCACACGCACTAACCATTTGGCCAGTTTTGAATTAAAATAAAATAAAATAAAACCAAGTACGAACAATCCAAACATTGCGACTAGGTCCAGGGTTAGGGGTAAGGTTGGGATTAGCGCAAGCACTGTTTACATGACGAACAATTGAGCTGGTCTTATCATTTAGCACTACCCCGCCCCACACTCATCCCCCTTTGTCGAAAAACCTTTCGAACGCGATAGCTACATTGTGACCTTGACATGGAAAGATATCACGGACACATGACCGGTCCATCTATAGGCTGACTTACCTTGTGTTACTGATTTTACTGATCGGTAGGCTACTTATAAAGGTCAATTAAAGGTAAAACACCATTGTTACCTTTTCATATTCTAACTTTTATGATGTTTAGTGTGATTTGTTCATTATGGCGCCGAGTGCTACTTAGTCATGAGATAGTATACCGAATTTTAATATCGTGTAACGACGACTAGTGTTGCTTAGACTGGAAATCGTATACTCGAATTTTCATTAATATTAACATTCTTAACTTTAGTTTACATCCTATAGACTTTTTTTTCTTTTTTAAAAAAAAAAAAACATGCATGCAATGAACATCAGAGATCGTAGCTTACTATTTATTAGGTACGAGAACGGGTGCCTCTAATTTCACCTAGCAAGCTTAATTTCGTTATTAATACATGTAACATCTTAAATTAAGTTAATTTTGTACCATTGTGACTTATTAAACATACGCAGCCCAATTTAGTGAAAAAACTTTTATTTATCTACAAATATTATATCTACTGAAAGAGAATCGGTTCCAGATGAGTTATTTGCCCCCTGAGTTAGAAATTGGAATCAGACCAGTTATTTGATAATCTAGCCCACGAACATGGACATAACAGACTTTAGGCATGTACTTAGCCATAGTTTGATGTTATTTTTGAAATATTTTCCACGTTACGCCTGTGCATAAGTCCTGTCGTATAACTCGTATCAGGTTAGTACTTTGATTGGCTGTTGTGCACGACATAGAGTTCAATTTCAATAGAGAAAACATGAAAAGCGCAATAGAAACTTCTGTTTTAGTTTTATCGCGCTATATAAATAAAGGATTATTATTATTATAAATATTAGCCCTCCTTCATGGCGTAAAATTTAAAATGCCGGGTAAAAGCCAGCCATTATCGCTTCGATTTAAAAGAGGTGGTTTGTACCCGTGTCGGGATTATAATGCTTAATTGTAGTTGGATGTGACAGAAATGTTATAAATAACAATATTCAATCGTTGTTTCGAAGAAAAAAATTGTCTGGTTTGCTTATTGAAAGCCCGATTTGATCTCCATCGAGTTTTGCAGGGTGGATCTATATAGTACCATCTCTTACAATCTGATTAAAACACAGATCCTATTTCGTTTCGTTTTTTATAGTTCAAAATTTCGTTTTACTTGTCCTCACAATACTAGTATCTGGAAGAGTTGTTTTATAAGCCGCGTTCTGGTTAATGTGAGGGATTAGCCAATGAAACTGTCTGTTACAGCGAGTACTTGGCGTGCGATGCACGGAACTGTGGGTAAAACACTAGAAACGTTAACCCTGGTTGATTAATCCATAGAAATCTATGGATCAATCAATGTCTGACGTCATGGGGTTAAAAGTCGCTCGTATGACATCTGTCGCGACTCCGCACTACAACCGATCAGATCTTCATGTAGGATTAGTACTAAATGATGAGGCCAGCTTAATCTTTCGTCATAAAGGTCACGAGATGTAAACAGGACTAGCGCTAATCCCAGCCCTAACCCTAACTCTGGACCTAGCCTCAATGCTTACCCTAAAACTAACCCCAATCTCGCCAACAAATGACGTGCACTAACCTCATTTACATTTCACCATCGTAGGTCAGTGCTTGTGTGGAGACAAAACCTCTCTCCCAAATACTTAAACCTACCCTACAATCTCGCCAACAATCACATGTCCTAACCCTCATTTACATCTCAGCGACCTTGACAAAAATTGAGCTGGCCTTAACAAATAGATATAGCCCTTCGTGTAGTGTAGGCCATCGAAAGTATAAAAAAAAAACGAAACGAAATATAGATCTGTATTTTAATCTGATTGCATCTCTTATCTCGAAACAACGATGTCTATTTACGAGACAAACGATTCAGCGGTGTGCTAAGCATGGTGATATTAGTATATTCTTTCGTTCAACACAGAGCAAATGAAATGTGGTTTAACGCCCTGTACTCTTCTGCTCCGTCCGGGCAAATGAAGACGGACATATGACATGCAGTATGGGGGAAGGTTTGCTAGGACAGCGGCACCGCGCCCTATTCTTATTTGAAATTCATCTGTCAGGGGTATTTCGTCCCCTGAAAATCTGATAAGTTTGCCAAACCTATACGTTGAAACAAAGAGGTCATCTCCGTACGAAAGATTATTCGCTATAGTACTTAATTTGGTCGCAATCCACTTCTGAAATTATCGCAGAACATTTCATTTTTCAGATGCCAAGTTTTCTTGAAAATCTAAGTGTCCAGACACTGGAAAGGATATTTGGTGTTGTTGTTCTACTGTCTGTATATGTTATATATCAACAGTATGTAATTGTAACAATACTTAGTGTAATAATATTATATATAACTTTATATTATTATAAAAAGAAACAAGAAAAATATATACCATTAACTGGACAAAGTGTCTTAATAACAGGATGTGACACAGGTGAGTACTGGTCCTAACAGCAGATTGTTATATATTTTGTTTCGGAACGGTCTCTGCCCGTTCCTATCCGTCCCTGTTAACAAGTAATATGACATTAAAGGAGCTAAATCTCATTATTTGGTACCTAGAAATGGACACAAGTGGATCGCAATACGAATATATATGAACTGATTTACACTCAATCGTTTCTGTTTTTACTGCAATTTCTAATCAGTTATCTTCGGCGAAATACGCGAAGAGTTCAAATTAAATGGCAGTCTTTGGCGTCTGTTATTCCAGTCTACACCGGTAGATCTAATTATTAAGGCCACCTGAAGGTCACGACATGTAAACAGGGCTAGCGCTAACCCTACCCACAATCCCCGGCAACAGTTACGTGCCCTAACCCTGTTTACATCTCGTGACATTGATAATAAGTCCTGCTTGCAATGAGTAAGACTGGATGATATTGAGTTGGAGACCTGTCGACTTTAATGCAAATACATGTACTGAAATAGCGCAGCTACCCCCACCCCACACCGCCCCTGTTCTATGGCTATTTTGGAGTCTTTGCCTTCTATTTTTCATCGTAACATCGTAATTCGTTCTTGTTCGCTGAAAGGAATCTGACATAAATTTATCATAACTCTATTTTGAAGCAGAATTTTGCGATTCAAAAACAGGACAGAGATACTCTCAAAGTAGATAGTTTTCTGTGTGCAGAATATATCCAATGGACAAAATCGAAATGAATTCCACGTAATTATTTAAAAACATCTATAAAACAATTTACAGGAATTGGCCATAAGTTAGCTGTTCGTCTGGGTAAAAGTGATGTTACTGTTTTTGCTTGTTGTTTATCATCATCCAGTAAAGGTGCTTTAAAGTTGAAATCTGTTGGTAGTAATGTTCATGTTTTATCTATGAACGTTAAATCAGATGAAAGTATCGAGGAATGTCTACAATATGTCAAGGAAAGATGCCAAGACAAAGGTAAGGCTTCCATAACTTTATTATACGCTCGTACTTGGTAGTTAGGCATATAGGCTAGACGTTTTAGTCCTAGTTTGTTTTGATCAGATTTATTAGATGTCGTTTCTTTTGCTACTTTCTGGACACCATTAATTTATAGCGGGCATTGTGTAGGCCTACACTAAGCGATTTATAGTTGTTTTTAAATATTATCCAGGTTTATGGGGTATAGTAAACAATGCCGGGATAGTAAGATGTGGTGATGTAGAATTAACAACAATGTCTGTATATAAAGATGTAGTAGATGTTAATTTATTTGGAATGATTAGAGTTTGTAAAGCGTTTATTCCACTTGTAAGAAAAGCAAAAGGTAAGGGTGTGATTATTTTTTGTGTTAAAATTCATTTATGTTTTCACCGACTGTAGGCTACATTGATCCGTATTATTTCGTACTGACAAAGGTTCTTTTACGTGCAAGTCATTGAGTAGGCTACACGACACCCCGTTTTTCGTCCCATCAGATCGACTATATTTCGTTGTCACTTGGAAGCCAGTGTCTTCATTTACCTGAAAGAATTAAATAACAGACCCAAAGTGCATATCTCACACGTATATATCTGCATCACTGACAAATGTGAATTACGCCAGTCTACACCGGGATCGAACCCGGTACCTCCGAGTACCACCGCGACCCCCATTTGACAGGAAATTTGAAAACTTTTTTCCATTCTCTAAGTTGTGGCAAAGTAGAACATGCCTTTGTTAATATCCAGGTCGAGTTATTAATGTGACAAGTGTCCGAGGCATAATATCTTACCCAGCATTTTCAGCCTACAGCATGTCAAAGTTTGCGGCGGAAGCTTTCTCCGATTCACTCCGAATGGAAATGAGTAGATTTGGAGTAAAAGTGGTTATTGTGGAACCTGGTAATTATGGTGGAGCTACTGGTTTGTGGGACGAAGAAAATGTAACAACATATGTTTTATACATTTTTTTTATATCATTAAAGTTGATGTTGAATGTTAAAGATGCATTATGTAAGGTTTAGATAAAGAGCTGACAGTTCTTGCTATAATTGGTTTAAAAATAGATAATTTGAATGGAATATATTGACAATCTCAGTCAAATTACTTCATTCTGAACGAAGTTTGAAGATGTATCCATTTGCATTGCTTCTGTTGTTACGATAATAACAAAAAAGTCTTGATTATCCATTTCTAAGTTAAATTACTAAATAACGATTGTGTTTCAATCAGTTCAAAATAACAATTATCCGATAATATGAATGTTATATGGGTTAATGATGAACGAATTTGCTGCAAAATACGTACGTTCGAATAACTAGTATGAACAGAAAATTAGCTTCATGAACTTATTACCACTAACAAATTATGTAGGGTACGTTCACATGTCTACATAATATGAATATTACATCGGTTAATGATGAACGTATTGCTGCAAAATAGTATGTTGAGTACGTTTGGATAACCGCGTATGAACTGTAACATTAGCTGGATTTGGAATATTGTCTATGATGCTGTCGTTTTCCGATTCTAACGCTGCACGGTCAATGCATAATTATTTTCATTCATGTTTTATGCATTTTTATGAATAATTCTTATTTTCTCAAAGTCGTAAATATACTATTATTTTTGTTAACCCCCTACACTACGTTCAAAAACAAATATGGATAAATCGGACAATATTTGCATGAAATTGAATAGGGTTTGATTTTTGGATTAACTTTATGAAGGCTATATGAAACTTGTATAGATGGAAGGACGACACTGTGTTTAGATTGGTAGCGAAGTATCCATGCCCTTTATTAACTAAAATCAATTTAGGTTATTTAGGTTACCATTTTTCAGACTCCTATAAATTATGCATTGTGAAATATGTTGGTGCCAGCAGGGAGTCTGTTATTATTCTGTTTAATTTCAGAAAGAGAGAATTTTGAATAGCGTTGATGAAATGAATTCGGAGGCTAGTTTGGAAGTTTTAGATACTTATGGAAACGGTTATCTGAGAAAATTGGCGCAGAATGGCATAGATGGTTGCTCTACAACTTACCCAAACCTTAATCCTGTTACTGACGTTCTTTATAATGCCATCTTTAATTTAAATCCCCAGACAAGATATTTAATAGACGGCAGTAATAAAATCTATGACATCGATTGTGTATGTATATTCTCTGTCGTTAATAATTTCTTTCACTTGATCTGATATGTGTGTTATTGTTTGGGGGGGTTGGATGGCTGAATGGTTAGCGTGCGCGCGCTGTATCATAAAGTCTGTCATTGAGTCGACTGGCGTGGTTTCGAATCCCCAGTTGTACGTGACAAGGAGTAGGGTCGCCTGTCCAACCTCGTGGGTTTTCTCCGGGTCCTCCGGTTTCCTCCCACTGCTAAAGACCCCTACGCGCAAGTGAATTATTGAAATAAAATTAAAACCATATGTTAGTCCCGAAATGACCTAGTTTGTGTCGAGTGGACGTTAAACCCCATTTCTCTCTCTCTGTTATTGTTTGTGGTGTCTTTAGGCAATATTGTGTCATGTCCGTAGGTTTGTCTTGCGTAATTGTTTGTGTGCCGTGCGCCCCCCCCCCCCGCCCACGTTACCACTACACTCACACTTTTCCGAATACCGTGAAACAAAGGGCAGGTATGGTTGAACGTCCCGACACCACAGTGCATCCCATTTTGAAAGTACCATTAGTTGTCTTACGGTCAGGTATGTAATACGTGTTGGGATTATAGTTTCCATGACATCGGATTGTCCACCTATGCTTTTCTTCCTTTTTAACCTTATCCCAAATAGATAATCACCACTACAAGAACAGATTTTTGAAACGGGTTCTCAGTGGTATTTAATTAATATAAAATCAGATTTCTGTTTTGTTTGTTTATTTTTGATAAAAAAAAATGATGCACGGGCTTAGCCCCCCCCCCCCCCAAAAAAAAATCGAATTAGCCCCCCCCCCCCAATATTTCGCCAACAATAATGATTTCTTAGGAGCGTTCTTAGCCGGCCACATCCTCAGCCCCTCCAAAAAATTCCGTAGCCCCACCAAATTTTATGAGCTGGCTATACGGGCCCGATGATGCATCGAACTTTTATGTATTTTTCAAAAATTGTAAATTGTTTGTTACATAATCTATAATGTATGTGGAATACTTATTTTCTTGTTTTATTATTAATTATTAATGTCGTAAATTTGTGATGGGCGGGAAACTTCCGCTGAGAGACACGCTTGGAACTGTCAGTAATTTACACAGACGTCCAAACTGTTAAGCCTTGCTGGCTTCCTATTGATGGTTACGGGCTTAGATAGCAGATTATTACGCCCAGATTGTACGGCAAATATTTCAAGGAAATTTTATTTCATATTTTCAGGTAATGGGACGTCTGCGATCATTTGTTCCTACTTGGATGATGGATTATGTTGTAATGACGTATTATGGGCCACCTAAACCACCAGTAGTCGAACCATAACATGGATTATAGAACACATTCTGAATAAAACTGGAAAGACGAAATTGCTTCTATGTTCCGTATTATCCCCCTTCAACCGACCCGACGAATCGGGCAAAAAGAAATGTCGCAAAATTAACTTTGAACATTTTATATAACACTAAGCGTATAATTTCGTCGTCTTAGACCGTTCGACTGCCGTCCGTTTATAAATTGTTTCTACAGTGGACAGAAGTTTTGATGGAATACACATGGGTTCACTGATTAGTCTTTGACATATTTAGCATTGAAAGAATTGCTACAAATATTTACGAAGTTATTTCCCTCGCTTCAAAACATCATTCACAATTTTGATGAACAAGCAAACAGTAATCAATTTATTTTTTATACAAATTCGATGAAACTTGCAGAATGCGCTTGATTCAGAATTTTCATTGACAATTTTGAAGAAAAACAAGACGGAAGATAGCTGGTTAGTGTACTGTCATCTACTGTCATCTCATTTTAAATAGGAGATTTCAATTTGAAATAACCAATTCCAAAACCCTTATTTCTTAATTTGGTGTTAGCCCCAACTGCTTAAAATCGACCACACAATAAAATATTTCCATAAACAAAAAAAATCCTTCAGGTAACATCCGTACTTTTCTTCGTAAATTCATCTGAATAAATGTTAACAACTCAGTGGTCAGGATATAGAGGGAACCAATCTAATTTTTAGTAGGGATGTGAAAAATTATTTTAGCAATTCGGTATATTTTGATACACGTTGTTTATTATTGTTATTATTGATTCATCTTAGTATCTTGTAAATGCTCCCATTAACCACAAAAAGTCACGGAGGACTTAGCTGCTGTTTCGTTGTTTGGCAACCTATTTTTTATATTCTATTAAAGGAACCTAGTTAATTTTTTCTTTAAGTGCTATTATGTATATTTCAATAAACCATGTGATGGACGAAACGTTATCGCGGAATAGGTCAGCATTTTAAAAATTTAACTTCCTATCTACTATTTGAACTTTTAGAAGATACTTCAATTTTGATTGGCTAAGCACTAAAATCAATCTAATATTATCCAATCAAATTACTAAAATTTGGATTTTTATCTTAGTTAAAATTTCGTGAAACAAGCCCCTGCAGGTATATTGGGTGGCGATGCACTCTTAATAATTCAACTGTACCCTTATGTTAACGTGTGTATTAAGATGTAGACCAGGGTCGTCACCTTGATAATAAAAAGATATGACTTCACCTGATATGTGTATTATAATATTCAAAGGTAAGCCGGGTAGTTATTTCTTTTGAGGGGTGAGGTCATTGTAGCTGTCCCGGTCCGACGAGGGCCCCAAATGACAAAGAGGCCTGGGCACGTCGAAGGAACACTTAATTTTATACAAAAGGAATGAAATGTGGTTTAATGTCTAACTTTAATTCTGCACAGCGGCGGTACGACCTACTCTGAGAAGGGTTCGTTTATTTGCACGCCAAAGTGTACACGGAACCTCGGTTTCGCGTTCCACGCTACCTTATGTTGGTTGATTTTTATACGCCCACATTTTCATGTGGACGTATATTGTCGTCGCCCCTGTCCGTCCGTATGCGGCGGGGGGGGGGAGTCCATCAAATGGGCAAAGGTTCAAATAAGGTCATTTATACTGACAGTAAATGCGCAGCCATTCTTGTATCGTGAAAACATGAGTCTGATTTTGTGCCCATTTGATGGACACCCCCACGCATAGGCGTACGGGCTCGATGACAGTTAGGGGGCAGAACCCGAAATGCCCGAAAAAATTTCGGGTGTACAGGCAGCGGTGCCGATCTTCCTCGAGAGGCGAAGCAGCAGAGCTCCCCTTGTATTGTACCCCCAGCCCCCCCCCCCCCCCCAAGAAAATTTTGAATATTTGACGGCTGCAAACATAATTTCCTGCTATTTCAGCCCGTGAACAAAGCAACTTCAAAGTGGTCTAATATAGCCGACTCGAATTCCAATCAAAAGATCAATCGTTTACAGTCCACGGAGACGGGACCGTTTGGAGAAAATTTTGAAAATTTAACAGCCGCATACGCGTTTTCCTGCTATTCCAGTCTGTGAATACAGCAACTTCAATTTGGTCCAATATAGCCGACCTGGCTGACCCGAATTCCAAACAACCAATCAATCGTCGCGGGGTATGGGGGGCCTCACCCTCGGGGCCTCACCCTCCCGGAGAAAATTTTGAAAATCTAACCACCGCAAATGCGTTTTCTGCTATTCTAGCCCGTGTAAGCAACTCCAAAAGTATCCAATGGTTTTGTAACCGAAATCCCATTCTGAATTCCATCCATCCAATCAGACCGTTGCAGCTGCATTCACAAATAATAATCGATGCTCGAAAAAAGTCGCACAAAGTAGAGTGGCTCCAGACAAAATGTTTTAATCCATAGTCAACTCAGTAGGCCTACAAATTTGTGGTATTCAATTAAAAGAAAAGTAAAATTAGTGTTTTATTAGGGCTCAATGACAGTTAGGGAAGAAAAACTAGAAATGCCCGAAAAAATTTCAGGTTTACAGACAGCGGCGCCGGTTTTTCTTCGAGAGGTGAAGAAGCAGAACTGACCTTGTATGGACCCCCGAAGAGAATTTTGGACTATTTGACGGCCGCAAACGCGTTTTTATGATATTCAAGCCCGCAAAATTAGTATTTTATTGATTTCGGGCACTTTATTTTGCCAAGTAGATGAAATAAAAAAAAAATTTGTTCCCTTTACCCTTCTGCCCGAAATGTCAGCTTGCCCGAAAGTTAGGGGGCAGCTGCCCCCCCCCCCCCCCTGCACCCCTGGCTCGTACGCCTATGCCCCCACGCACTGAGCCTCCTGACTAAGACCTTTCTTAATATTTTAGTATTAAGTCCTTTAGTATGTGACCTTTCTTAATATTTAAGCCATGTTGTTAATGTGACCTTTGTTAATGTTTAGGTAATGTTGTTAATGTGACCCTTGTTAATGTTTAGGTAATGTTGTTAATTTGACCTACGTTAATATTTAGGTCGTGTTGTTCATGTGACCACCTGTCGAGGTATTATAATATCTTACCCAGCATTTTCAGCCTACAGCATGTCTTTCTCCGATTCACTCCGAATGGAAATGAGTAGATTTGGTGTAAAAGTGGTTATTGTGGAACCTGGTAATTATGGTGGAGCTACTGGTTTGTGGGACGAAGAAAATGTAAGAAAAAAAATGATCGATTTGTTATTAAAGGGGGATAACAAGCTAATGACGACTGAGTGCATATTGAGGTGCCGAATAAAACTCTGCAAGAGTCGCAGTCCCTAGATTCTCAGTCCTAAAATAAACCGGACTGCTTTCCCAAGTTTCAAGAAATCCATGGGCATAAACATCCCTTTTTGCAATGAGAAAGATCGACCAATTGATTGTGCGAGTATAATGTGTGTAGTATGGGCTGTACCTAATAATAGATGCACTAGATGGACTTACTGATATTACTGGCATTACTGGTTCTCTCCATTGTGTACTTCCTGGGGTTGACTATTCTTTGATGCAGGATCTGTCACTGCATGTTTCGTCGTGCCAAACCGTTTATATATGACCTTTTCTTGGTCCCTTTTGGATGGCCGAATGGTTAGCACGTGCGCGCTATGTTTGATGCAACTGGCGGGGTTTCGATTTCCCGGTTGTACGTGACAAGGGAATAGAGTCGCCTGTCCACCTCATTCATTTTTTCTCCAGGTCCTCCGGTTTCCTCCAACTACTAAAGACCCCTACGCGCAAGCGAATTATTGAAATAAAATTGAACCATGTGTTAGTCCCGAAATGACCTAGTTTGTGTCGAGTGGATGTTCTCTCTCTCTCTCTCTCTCTCTCTCTCGCATTTTCTGGATTTTTTTCGCTAAACAGACCAGGTGATAAATGTAGACGCTTGAGTGTTTAGAAATTGGCATAAGATACTAAGTTCAAATTGTAAAACCAGTATTATAGTATAATATTAGACAAACCTTTAGTAATTATTTTCCCAAAACAACCTGATTTTGATTAGGTATTACCATAAACTAAGATATAACAAAACTGTATCCTTCAAAATTCTTAAAGGGGTAGACCGATGATTATTAACAAGGTTTTCATAAATCTTAATTATATTGATAAATAATCCCCTCTGTAACACAAGCAAAAGTTTTTGTAAGCGAGAAATTAATTTTTATTAACGTCGGAAGTGATGTAGATCGCTCAACTGAAAAACAGTAGAATCCGTCCTGACAGTCCTAATGCTTCACACCCAATTTGAAAGACAATCAGTTAAAAACTGTAGCATTTTTACAATGTTTATTGGTGGAAAAGGTAGGTGGGGCGTGTAATCTCGGAACAGAAGGTTGTGGAACGCTGAAAATCGATAGGGTTCGTCATCTCATGAACTCAATGCTTTACACCGAAATTTGTTTTAAAAAAACATAGCCTCTATCATGTTCACAAGCCAATTGCTGACGGACGGACCAACGGACTAACAGATTCTACGCCACACTGAAATGTTGGCGTATACAAAAAAGATGGAAACTAAATATCATTTTTAATATATTTAAAATTATAAATTATATATAACAATAAATAACAGAAATAAGATGAAACATTATAGTAGGATTATTTTTTTTTTAAAAAAAAGGATTAATATATTTCAACTTATAAATGTCGTAATTATAAATGACAATAAATTTATAACAGTATAGAAAACAAGTGCAATGTAAAGTGATTCCTCAAAAAATAACATATAGTAAATATAGTATTATAAATAAATACAGATGGGGGCTCCGGCCCTTTTCATTTGCTTATATTTTACTCAATACCTAATACTAAAACGGTGTTTCAGAAATACCCCACCAAGAATACAAAGCATATGAGATAATAAGATAATGAATACAATTTCTGAAGACAAAGAAATGGTTTTAAGATGACACCCCACACCTTAACCTTCAACAGACCACTGGTGTTTGATCTTAAAAGCACATAATGCCAAAAAAAACTCAATTAATGGCGGGACTTTGACGTTTATAGATATATCAATATTGATATCATTATAAAACGACAACATCCTGTCAACGGAGAATTAACAAAAGACATCTGGGATCTTAGGAAAGGTTGACCCAGTAACTCCGAAAGCCATGACGCAAAATCCGTGCTGGTGAGTGTTCACGGGCGAAGAGAACTGAACTACATCTATTTATTTTAAATTTTAAGGAATAGTAATCACTTTCATAGGGAAAGGTGAATGTCTAAATGGTAAAATTCCGTATGTATAGAGATGTTTTGAATTGAATTTTCATCGCCGCCATCTTTGATCGGTAGCGGAGACACCTGATGGGCCTAGTTTAAATACGACTGAATCCACACCGAAAGATTATCTAGCGTTGGTATGTTGATTTTCTTATGTTAAATAACAAGTCTGAGTATATATTTCGCGTGAATTAAGCCGTGAGAATTCTGGAATTTTAGCGAAAATAGAAATGACGCATCGGAACTTTAAAATAGATGCAAATGCGCCGAAAACCACATATTAATGTAACATAAATAATGTTACACAATTGACATGATTCAGGAAAATGTCACTTAACACCTTATCAGATTATGGCTCACAGATGGTCGATACTGGCACTGGTCTGACACGGCCAACAGCCATGTAGAAGTCATTAGTTACTACCCCTGGTCTGAGTTATGATGTAATAAAGGCATCTGCATAATCTCTTCGATGATCCTTTGTCTAGAAATGGATTATAAGCAGAATCAAATTGGGATTATTCAGTCAAGGCGAGAGCGCCAGAGTTAAGACCGGACAGGGGCTATGTAAGTTAGTTGGGAGTTGGCACCCAAGGCTGTCAAGCCAAGCTATTACCATAGTTCCCCCAACACAAGGCTATTACGGAGTCTTAAGTTTGGTACATGATATGTATCTTATGAAGGTTAAACCAGTGTTGTCATCCAGAACAAGATTCAAAGAAACAAAAGTATAACTATAGATTTAATTTCAGTTTTTTAAAACTGTTATTTTAATTTCTAATTATTTATGTTTGGTGAAATACGTTAATAGTCGAAATTGAATGGCAGTTCAATTTAAGGGTTAATCCAGTCATTTTGTTTTCTCTTTTGTTGATCATTGTACTATGTTCATTGTGTCTTACATATTGGAGCCAATATTTTCATGGTAAGATAACATCAATATTGATTGAAATAGACCAATAGTGAATTCTAATACGTGTTTTGAATGTAGAATGCCATGGGTAATACCGATTTTGAGCTACACGCCCTTAAAAGTTAGTTTCGACACTTCAGTTTTAAATTCAAATAGTTGGAATCTACTTTAAAATAGTGCAGTACAGATATAAGCCAGATTAATAGATTGGCAAGTAAACCACATAATTATAATCTGTTTGGTATCGAGGGGAAAAGATAGACGATTAAGAATGTAAGTTGTAGAAATAACGTAAAGTTATATACAATATATTATGTAATAATTAACTTATCACAGAATCTTTGATGTAACAAAAGCATAAATAGAGAAGTATTTTCTAAAGTCAGCTTTTCCAGCCCATGTCAATATATTGGTAGAATATGTTACAAAGATATGCTTTTATTTTTTAAGGGATTTGCAACACTTTTCCACGTGCCTAAAAAATACTTAAAGATGCCTTCCCATGTACAAACTGTGTGATTTGATGATATATTTGGACTAAAAACATATTCAAATTGATTAATCTACTAAAAGTGTCCTGTGCGTGCTCCATGGATGTTTTTCAGGGAATCCAGTATTTTTCTAGTAAGAGTGGGTGTCTTTACTTTCCATATATACCAAAATTATAGGAAGAAAAAAAACCCCGATAAATACTTTTGAGGGAATGTATCTTTAATGTATTTATACTCTAAGCTACCCACTCTCGATTCACCCTATCAAATATCCAGAAGTCTCATCAACATTTTTTGTCTAATCGATGAAGACAAAGTTTGATTGAGAGAACATAGACACAATCTAATTAAATATAGATCTATATTTCGTTTCGTTTTTTATACTTTCGATGGCCTACAACAAGTAAAATCGAAATTTTGAACTATAAAACGAAACGAAATTGGATCTATGTTTTAATCAGATTGACATAGACACGCCAAGATTTTCATATGCTAATTACTACGTGTTTTCAAGCGTGAGGTTAAAACAGAGCGTGACTAAAAAAAATAAATTAAATGTAGCAATTAAAGAGAATGTTTACTTAATGCAGTTTTTAAGACAGATCAGATTTCAAATATTAGAATATTTCTATATCAAAACAGACTGTCTCTTTGAAATGTAAGCAAAACGTATTTAATTTAAACCGCTAACATCTCACGCCTGTCTTAATTATCGATCAGACAAGTAAAAACTGAATCCAACTGATACATAGTATTCTGGCGAACAGTTATTATTTTTTTAGAATCGACAATAATAAGTGAGTTTTTACTGATAAACAATACGTCCCTTAATATTGGTGACAGGCTTTAGACTACGCACCGAGTTACTTCTGGATATCAAATACGGTATGTCATTTTCACCATCCTCACTGCCTTGTGGTTTACGATTATTTTCTTGTGCCAATCTCGCTGCAGTCATTACGTTCGTCATTCTTTGATTACCCTTCATATCTGAAATTTGTATTCATAATAAGTAACCCATATAATCCAACACCAGAATGAAATGAAACATGAAGTTAACACATGAACATGCAGGAAAGTTGTCATTAAAATTATCTCCAAATTGGGGCTAAAATTATTGGTTATATCGGTTATAATAAAGACGATTAGAAAATAGCAAAGTATAGGGTAAATAATCACTTGACGGTGATGTCAACAAACATTATGGGGTTAAGCGTCCTACTTTTCTGCACCAACCGGGATAAAGACGACAGGCATATATCATGCAGTGTGCTACGAGGGAAACTTTGCTTAATTCTTTTACGTGTACATTAACGTTGTTTTCGTCCTCACTTTTTCGTCCCATCCAATACACGCGCGACAAACGAATCTACAAGTATACTTTTGACATAAAAACTTTGTTAGCAATATCAAAAAGTATCAAACTTTTCTAATCATGACGAATTTGAACACATCTTTGCCTACTCCATTAGCAAAGCACATTGGTATCACTAAAACGATATCTGGGAATAACGAAACACGGACACAATACATAGAATAGCTTATGCATATGTATACTTACCCGGTTTTCGTCCAGTAAAAATACCCAGGAATGACTGCCAAACATAAGAAATCAATTCCATGTCTATGTCAGATTCGTTCGGTTCAGAACCCTGGGTCATAGCCATGACATCTAACATGATAGCGAGAAATATAGTTGTAAGTGTAAGTGTTACCATGACAACAAACAGGCAGAAATAGAGAATGGTTATCCACGTGTCCTGTATTTCGGCCCCAGTTTCTTTGAAATCGGGACTTCCTAGGATGGCCATAAATAAAGTCTCCAGACACGTAATAAAGCTGTAATATCGCTCTGATATACTACCAAAACATATAAGTCCCCAGAAACTGAAACTCGTTAGAACTGTGACGATATAAAAGGCCAGACCAGGCAATACTTTAGAACTGTTCTTCAGAACATTGTAAATTTTAGCGGTTCTTCTAGTATATCCAAGTGCTTTAATTAGGCGAACCGTTGCTATGGCTACCAAAAATCCAAGGAAGGCAACAAAAGTTCCATCCCATATAGCCACGTGATAGAAATTAACAAACTCTCGGTTATTATCGCGATATTTCTGTAACGCATCTGCGGTAAATCCTTCACGAACTGCATACAGAGCAATGGCTGCAATAGCTATTCCTATCATTATTAAATCTATGACTTGCCAAAACTGTTTAAAATATCTCAACTTCTGTTTCGCCATTTTGATGATGATAATTATTACGTTGATAACGATATAAACACAAAATGCTAACTCACAGAGGAGGACATAAGCGGCATGTGCACCTTCATGTTGACTTGGTCGGAAAGGGTAGATATTACTAAACGTGATAGTCCCGCCAGTTTCTGGAAATTCTGTCAACATGCTGACGTAAACAAATATATTTTTGTTGACGTTATAAAGTGTATATTCGAAAAATACAGCACGGGTGTTTCTGTCGATCCATTTTGAGTTGAATAATTCCTTGAGTGATTCAAAAGATATAAGCATATTGACGTCCAAATTAGCTATATACCCGCCACCACCGTACACGTTATGCTGACCTGCAATGGGGTAGCCCCAAATATCTAAAGCAGACGTAAACTTATATGCCTCGTAAGTCAAAGCTAGTTTCTCAAAATCGGGACAAGGAGTTGATGTCCAGCCCATACAATATGTATCAGTATCTTCTATTGGTAGTTGGTATCCAAGGATGCATTCAGTGTTACCAACATAAGGTATATCACATGTGGCTGAAATATAATTAAGGACGCCAAGTAAGTTCTGTATCCTGAATTTATATACACAAAGAAAAACGTATCACGACACCCCTATTTGAATATAGTGCTAATGTTTTATCGGATATCTTAGCTACTTTACGTTCTGGATGATATTCAATCTTCGTTAAATGCTTGGAGGAAACACTGGACCAGCCAAGAAAGACAAACTGAAGGTTAAGTATACGATTAAATGTGATTCTGTCGAGTTTAAAAATAGAGGCGGAAAATAAATGAAACTAAGGCCAAGCAACTAGGGCAGGTCAACAGGAAGGCATACAATGTAGTTCATTTCATTTTCTGTTCAAGTTATTCATAGATCCGTCAGAATAGCGAACGCAGTCAATACCTGATGTAGCCTCCGCCACCCTGGAATACCCATTTAACTCTCCTTCTGAATGAGAAGTTGGATCTGAGCCTGCGCTAGTCTGTCCCATTTCTGGCGTAGTGCCTTGGCCTGATCGTCGGATTTTAGCCCAATAATGCCTCAGATGTGCTTAATTGGATGTGATCTAGCGTTGTCGTCTATAAAGATTGACCTTTGTGAGAACAGGATGATTGTCAAAGTGGGGCACACAACTCTGTCATGCTCTCTCTCTTAGGTGCTGTTGGCCATTGAGATTACCTCTAACTATTGTCAGTGGAAGCTTACAGTCATATGAAAGGTAATCCCGTATCATGATAGAATCGCCGCCGAATAGAACCTGCTCTAGGATGTCCCTTTGTGCATTTGTCATGTACCTACGTCGCCATACACGTGCTCTAGTTTATCTTTTATTGCGAACAAGAAAAAGCGACTCTCATCCGACCAGCAAATTTTTCACCATAACGCCATGTTTCAATGATGACGTTCTTGGCACAATGCTAGTCATGCAGATTTGTAGCCACTTGACAACGGATGTCGTCGGACAGGTCTCATAGCGCCATATCCACCCAGAATGGGCAGATTATATGCGAATATTTCTGTGAAATAGGGGGTGTTCAACTAACCATTCCCTTTTCAACGTAGTGCTTGGCGCACAACGATAACGTCGCACGATTCTCAAGAGATGCGTCTTCTTTTGCAGACTTACTGTGAGGTCTATCCAAACGATGATGGTCCTTTACGTCATTGATGTTTTCGAAATAATCGACCCTTCTCCTTGTCCAATACATTCTTGGCTCAATGACAGACATTATGGTCTAAAGCACACACGTTAGACAACTTGACCACTCGACCACCCAACCCCCTTTTAGATTTTCTATTGATGTCAAAGTCCATTCTGTTTCTCAAACTATCTCTAAGTATTGGCGTTTGGAATGCCTAAAAACGAATACCACTTCTCATTTTATTTGTTAGATTTTCGTTTTATATTAGACTTGATGGTATCAGGTTATAGACCTTATACTTTAAAAATATTGTATAAAAACGTTTGCTCAGTAGAAATATTTTACATGTATATGAAAATAAATTCATATTATTGTTTCGAAAGAATGGCGTGATCAAGCCTGATTTTATCAAAATGTGGACAATACAGATTTGCCCAACTGTACGCGAACGTCAAAGGTAGCCACCAACTCCCGGTATTGACGCTGGATTAGATTTATGATAAATATGGTTCTTACTTTTCTTAGTTCTAACTTGTCGTAATCGTGGCGGACCAACTCTAAAATTATTGGTATCATACGAGAAGAGCCGTTGACTAGACACCATTCTATAACCTCGATAATCATCTTCAGTAAACAATGTTGGCAAAACTGTAGAATTCAACCAATCAAAGAAATGGGCAGCTTCGCCGATCTAAAATCAACAGAAAGATATCTCAGATAGTTAGTGTAATTATAATTAATGTAATCGGATAGAAAGGTTAATCATTAACAATCTAGAAATAGTTTACAATGCAATCTGTATCAGAAAACCAAATCATTTTTTTTAAGAAAAAAAAGGGAAAAAAAGGCCACAAATGCTTTTGAGATTTTACAAGTTCATTGGCTCATTGGATGAGAAGCAATCCCGGGTGCAGCGATAATTTTCCGTACCGCACAAGATTATGCGACGCTGTTTGAAACTACATGTATTTCTTAGAGAAACGTAAGCGAATATTGATTCAATTAGAATTAACATTCGGTATAAGAATTTAGAACTACTCACTTTTTCGTATGTTCTGTATGGTTTAGGTGGTTCCATAAAGTTATTTTGTACATATTGATGTAGAAGATAAGATTGTTGATCTCTGTTACTGTATGATATACTAAACAATATCCATAAGAAAACAGAATTAAAACACAACTCTTTAACCGATTGGTTCCTTCTCACATTTCGCACACGTTGAAGTTTCAGCCGTTGAAATTCTTCTTCTGAGTAAGGCATGGCAAATTTTAGTCTTCGCCGACCTGCAGAAATATACAAAATTATGAATGAGAGAATGAAATATGGTTTAACTTCCTAGTTTTATGTACTTACCAGGCTAATGAAGACGGGCATACGCCATACAATGTGCTCAATCTGATTAAAATACAGATCTATATTTCGTTTCGTTTTTTATATGTTTAGTGAGGTAAATCGAAATTTTGAACTATAAAAAACGAAACGAAATAGAATCCGTGTTTTAATCCGATTGACAATGGGAGAAATGTTGCTCAGACAGCAGTTGAATTCCAACTGTCAAGAATTCTTTTACGTGCACGCGGATAAGTACACGGGACCTTGTTTTTTTTGTCCCACCCAAACGACTAGGCGCTGCTCCTACAACGTTATGTAAGGTGAGTGTCTTGATGGAGCTAAGCAGACATAAGCTAATTGACTGGTCGAGACTTTATTACAGAATATTGCTTATTCTAATCTAAGTAGAGTAGAATATTCAAAGTTGGTGTAGATGTCCATTACATGAGCATCAGCTGCTTAAGCCAAGCACACATAAATAAGCAATTTGATTCATGGATGCGTTGGAACGCCATAATTAAGTCTGATTCTAATTGGGTGAGATTGATGTACCTTGGTGTATAGTTTCATTACATTTAGACCTTGACTAAGAATAAGTGAAGTCATAAGTAATTTGATTGCCCAATGACTTAATAATAAAATATAAATGTGCAAGTAATTAATGAATGTAATCTATTTATTCTCTGGGATTAAGGCAGGTGGACACCAGTCTCGCTATTTGCTTCTTATGTCATTAGTTAGATTTTTAGATAGATTGCGTGATGGCTTTATTGTATTAGTAACCCTACTTGATTCTTGGCGTAACGTACCTGCATTTGGTTGTCCTTTCTTGTTGGCCAGCAGCGTTATCTCTTTGAGATCATAGTGAGTAGGACTACTACTTTTAATGGCTTTAAGGAATAGAGAAAATACAACAGCCATAAATACCACCTGTAATAAAAGATTATAATGTTAATAATTCAATACAAGACAGAATTGAGATCAAAACTAACCAGTGGCGTACTGAGTTGTTGGTAGCGGGCGGCCACTGACCCCTATATAAGGGGGGGGGGCATCCAATCAAAGAGTGACATTAAAATAAGTTTTTAAAAAAATGTTAATATATGGCTGTTAATTCTGTCATAGAAGCTGTGCTTGTTAATTTCAATACAAAGGTGTATTTCATCTGTTTTTATTTCATCTCCCTTTCTGATATTTCTCGGTACTAGGCCCTATACATCAGTTTAGGAGTATTTCTCCCGACGTGTCCACGGATAAGTATTCCTACACACTTGAAAAACAATTTACCAATTGTTAGTCCCTGAATAACCCAGTTTGTGTTGAATGGACGTTATAGCTATGTTATCTACAGACACGTAAGCAGTAGCGTCCAATCAGAACTTTGCAACTCGATTATCACAGGTAGACATTTTTGCTTGAAAGCGCGAGACTTGGTATTCGCGACGATCGAGGAATCTGATAGGCTCACAAGCTGGGCTTGTACCCAATCGAAATTAGAGCCGAAATATGCAGGGTATTACCTGAAGGGCTTGATAAGATGTACGTAGTTAAAGCGAGATCAAGCCTTCTATTGAAGATACAACAATGTAGGCCACTAATATTTAGCTTTCTTAATTCCATAAAGATTTTTTTTTTTAAAAAAAAAGAAAAAAAAACATGCTTAGGACGTGACAAATAATTATTGATAAACACACCTTAAATGGATCGACAACCACCATAGACTGGAGAAAAGACAGAAAGAATGACGTCAGCCATTCTTCTGATAAACTCTTGCCCCATTCCATACTGAATAACATTAAGAAGAAAGCTGATACAAAGGCTGCTATAAATATGATAACCCAGGCTATATAGACACAGAAATGTGGCAAAACTCCTTCTTTATCATCAACTATATCTCTTACTACCAGAGCTTCTTCCAGTCTGTTACTGAATTCAATGTGTTCTTTGATCAACTTTGGTACCCAGTTCGGAGGATCTTTTGTAGTTCTCTTATCATTTAGTTTCAACTTGGCTTTTCTGAACAAAAGGATCATTAAGAATACAGGAATGGCCGTTATCAAGACACTGACGAACGATATGTACAACTGATTCAATGAAAATCGAATTGGTCCAAGTTCTATTTGGGATAGCTGTTGACGGTCTTTCTGATCTTTTCCCTCAAAAAACATGGCATTGGCTATCATGGTAAGCATGAGTAAGGCGTAACAGCACCCAATACGCTGTACTCTGTAAAAGTGACTCTTGACGGGTCTCAAAAACACCGACAACCATAAGTGATCATCCGTAACATGGCTTCTAGCGTGTTCATAAAACATAGTTTTAAAGTTATTAAAATTGATTCTTCCACTAACAGGCACCAGTCGTTCAATATGGCCGTCCTCAACAGATAACCAATCAGAACACATAAAATCATATCTGAGAAAAACAAATCAGAAATACACATAAAATAGTAGAATAGAATTAAACTTGGGCAATAAAACAAGGAAATCTATTGTTATGGCTTTTGGCAATCAAACCCCCTTTTTGTGCCTTCAACGTGCCTACATTTATATTTATGCAGTACATAGCGAATCATGACTCACAATAGTATGATACAATGTTTGGGAAATATTCCCCCTTTTCTTTTTTACTGAGTTGCAACCCTAATTATTAGTTTGTTTTACATTTTGAGTGACGTCGGTATCAGTACTATACAGGCCCGGGATTGTACAGCGAAGCGAACGCTTACGTCTAGCCTCCGGATCCATTCACTTGATCTGATAATGTGCGTTTTTTGTTTGTGATGTTTTTATATTGTGTCATGTCTGTAGGTTTGTCTTGTGTCATTGTTTGTGTGTAGTGCAGCCCCCTAGCACTTACTATATGAAGAAAATAACTGATGTATATTTGGTTTAAAGTGGCAAAAAATCTACACAAACCAAAACAGCCTAATATCTAGCTAATATCTAAATCACACAATTCATTACATCTTATATATAATTCATGCTTATAGATACCTAGCATTCACAAAATTGTAACACCGAGGAATATTTGAAGTTGAACGGTTGGCCTATCCGCTGATTTCTACTGTGACAATGATCATTGGATATTTTTGGTTCCTTCAACAATCAGCCAACATCCACCCGCTAGAAAATTTACGCCCCACAATCTAATTCCCGTAGGAACGAGACTATTCTGTATTTATTTGCTTGGGAAGTTCGCAAAGCTATAGAGTTTGCAATTTTTCTTTTTAGACTGAAGCTGGTCCCCGGATATTTTTTGTTTATATCTCTGAATGTCTGTATAGTTGGTCTTGTCTGCAGGTTTGTTTTATCGGTTTTTGTTTTACGTGTAGTGTGGTTATCCTGCACTTACTATCAGAATTGTTTATGGGCTTTTTATCTTTCTTTCATAGCTTGTATATAGTTACTAGCGGTTGATCTGGCGTAGTACGGGTATAGCCACGAACCAGAAGTAACATAACTCCGAAACCGGGAGTGGTGGGCCATCACCACCAGGCCTATGTCACTCTTCGGTTTGAGCTACCCCTCTAACCAAATGTCAGCCTCGGGACAGCCCTAGTGTAGCCGCCAATTCTAAACAAACAGACAGCGAGACAAACAAGCAAACGACAGCCGCAAATATTAGTATAGATTACAAAGTGTGTTAAGGTGTGTGAATTAAAACTGTCTTAATTGGCTGCTTCATATTTAGTATATCAAAATCAATGGATTTAATTGGAAGTGCGTGACCTGTTTTACATTTGAGTATTTTCTTTGGTTTAAATACCTGTCATTTGTTTGAATGTCATGGATTTCGATTCTACTCAGATACCAGGATGCATGTCGACCGTTTCCGGAATTGTCATGCCAAACCCTAAAACACTGAAGAGACCCCAGACTGGTTGGCACTGCCATTAAAAAATGCATTACACTTCCTGCTGAGAATTCCTAAAAATCAACAAGAGAATACATAAGTTAGGTCACAATGGATTCTATATCGATTGTTAACTAACTAGTTTGAATTATTTATGTCCACTAACGTAAGCGAATCTTTTTAAAATGTTCACACGTCTTGAAACCATCCACCATTAGTTAAATAATATGACTTTAGGGACTATACAAATAAATATAATGTAACTGAACAGATCGTTATCAAAAATCTTAAAATTGAAAAAGTATTATAAACAGCACTTTCATCAGTTTTTTTATTCATCAGTAAGAATTTTTAAGGACTTTAATGTCCTTAAAGGAGACTAAAAAATAACTGTTTCACTTTTAAACTTATTTACGCTCTTAGCGCAACGTGCTTTCCAGACCCGAACACATTACCAGTTAAAGTTCAAGACCAGAGGTTATTTGTTGGCGATTAGTTGTGTGGCAAAACTGCAGGCCGACAAATTGTCGGCGATAAAACTCAATAATAATTCGTTTGCACATGGTACGAGCGATCTGTTGAACAACATCGTTATGTAAATAATAAACGATATTAGCTTTTGATAAAACCAAAATGTCATCTTTCGAATAAATAGATATCTCAAATTTTCTACTGTATATTATGCATTAAAAACTGTGCTTACACTATTGCCAACAACAGTATATTCTCCTGGCTGTATTTCTGTGATCTATACGTTATTGCCCTGTAATGGCGTCCAGTAAGGTCGATTGTTTCTAAAAAATGTTTTGATGACAAGATCGCTACATTCGTATTACATCAAAATGGCACCCACCTTTCTGACACCATCTGTTAGGGTACGCACCCCACTGTCATCTCGTTCACCAGAGAGATTAAAACTGATATTAGATGTTGTACCCCCACCACGAACCAGACCAGTATAAACTGTTACTAGATAGAAATAACTGTCATCTTTATAATTATCAGCTAATACGGTTACACCCCACTGCAATAAATATATACATTATTTAATTCAAATGTACTTAAACATCTCTATAAGAAACAGTGTTACTTTTGCGATCAAATCCGATTATAAGAATTTGGTGTATTAGATTAGTTCTTGTGGACAAAATGTGACGTCTAATTTCGAGCAATTTCTAATCGTTTAAGGCGCCGTATCTGCGATGCTTCTATTCATACTATTATAGATTACTGCTACTGCGACTACTAGTACCATACTACGACTTAACGTCCGATTCGACACGAGGTGATATTGCAGAAAATACAGGGGATGGTGTTGTCAAGTGACATGGTTTCCAGTCAAGCTAGTAGGCCTACATGACAAGGAGTAGGTCGCCTTCCCAACCACGTGTTTTGGGTTTTTTTTTTTACGGTGATCTAGTTTTCTCCTATACTTCTAAAGATCTCTATGTGCAAGCGACTTGTTGAAGCAAAACTGCACCATATGTTAGTACCGAAATAACCTAATGCGTGTGCCAAGAGGACATACCGGGTATCTTATGATAATTTGTTTGTTAATAGAAACATATTTTGTTAATATTTGCTTGCTATAACTGATTATATAGTGAATCCGACTTATCGCCATACCAGATTGAATAAATACTTTGGGTACAATTTGTTATACATGTAATTTGTAGAAATAATGAAATAATACTTTACTTTGTAGAAGTGAGTTGAAATAAATTTAAAATGGCTTTAGTCTATTAGATAGAGAAATTAGATTCCGTTAAAAATTTTACAACCAGAACCTGGGTCTTACTTGAAGTTTATCTTGTCTATCCTTCCAATGACCCCAAATTCCAGCCAAAATGGCGATCAATGTAATAATAATAATAACTGCTAAAACTGCTGCCTGAGACTTGATGTCAAACTTGCTAAAGACTGTAGAGAAGTCAATAGAATTCGGTGGTACAAAGAATGAGCTTGCTGTTATTTCTTGATTTGTCGGATTTTGGCATAAACATGCTGTTCTGTTGTTACGAAGATCCATTTCGACCTGGAAACACAAATATTTAATATTTCAGGGGACTTTTAAAACTCACATATAAATTACTAAACTGAATTATACATGGTTTGTTAAAGTCTCTGATTGTTATTTGGGGGATTTTGAATACCGTGCAAACTACGGTATTGTGAATATTGACTCGCTAAAATGACGATCGCCAACTTTAACTGTTAGTTTGTATTATAATTAAGAAATGGTAAGTCTGTGACGTGTACCTCGCAATTACTAGGGTCCCAGTCCTGTTTTACACCATTCCACGAAGCGCAAGAAAACGACAGCAGACGAATCCAGTAAGGCACCTCTAAAGGGTTATCTGAATTGGGATTCCCGCCAAAGCTTGATTGCGTTTGATTGGTTGCTCGTTTCTTCCTGGTCACAGGATCAACTAAAACAGAAAAAAAGTATTTTATATAATTAAGGCTAAAGTCGTGTGTCGTCCGCAGGTTTGTGGTATAGGTTTTTTGTGTGTAGTGTGGTCCTCCTGTAGTTACTATTAGAGAAAGAATAACCATGTAACATGTTTCACGTAAAGATAGGGAGCCGTGGTAGGGCCCTTGCTCGCTAACCAGGATGTTTCCCATGTCTGTGGTGCAGAACAGAAACCCTGGCAAGGAATAGTGTCTACTCGTTGAGATGGTTAAAAAAAATGTCACGTGTACACAGTGGGCGTGCACGTAAAGAAATCCCGAGATTATAAATAAGAGAAAGCCCCAGAGCCGCTATCCGGGTAAAATCGTTAGCCCAGTCGGTGAAGATCAGTAGGACGTTAAACCTCATATCATTTCAAGTAAGGATAGCGTTAATAAAAATAACCTTTCTCTTACCTACCCGTCTTCATTAGCCCAGTTCGGAGCAAAACAGTAGGACGTTAAACCCCATTTCATTTCATTTCATTTCTCTTACCTAGGTACGGACGAAGACCAAGAAAACCTGCTCCTAAGCGTTTAAGTCCACCTGGTTTGATGCACCCATCCAGTTGTTCAACCCAATCATCGATAGTATCACTCAGGTGAGTAAAATCGTATTCAAAATCACTGGGAGGTATCTTGCTTCTCCAGAATGCCTCGTATTTAATCGTTGGTACCGTAGGTCGAATGGACACACAGAGATATTCAAATTTATGACGATAAACAAATCGCCAATAAAACATAAAAGAGGCATCTTCGTCAATAAACTTTGGTGTTTGAACGTAAATAAAGTCGGTATCCTGTGCATACGGGTATCCAGTCCTCGCTCGTACAATCGGTAGCTCAGGCACATTGGCCTTTTTAACCGCTGCGTGGACTACTGGGCTTGTATAAATTGGTGAGTTGGGTCCTTGAATATAGATGCTCTTTTTCAGTAGAACGGCCTAAAAACAGTAACAAAAACCGATCTTTGATTCTATTATATCATACAAATTATATCACAGGAATCGCTGAATTTATCTAATGCAATTACATTTAAAAAATTATGAACTCCCTATTGTAAAGTAATATCACGTATAAGCATGACATGCCCCGTGAACAATAGCTAAATGGATAGATAGTTTAAGGGATGCCTCCACTATATTAATTTCACTATAAAGGAGTTCACTAGAAGGGTTTATCCAAAGGGCAATTTCTTGATGAAATGAAATCGGTAAAATTGATGCCGCTGATCAGAGATTGATCATACGAAATAAAAAGATAGCAACATACCTTTAAATCAGCAGAAGATTTATCTTTAACGTCTTCAGTGATATCTGTAAAATTAAATGTCACGCCCTTCTGATCAGCACCAAGAACTGTATCAATTTTGCCTTTTTGTAAGTCTATAATCTGCTCTATTAAACCTTTTATTAATTCCGTGTTAAAATTTTCATGTTCTGATTTAAATACCGTGTTATCTGCAGTGGCTTTGTTCATAATTGTAAAGGCATTCTCCCAGATGGTTTGACAGGTAGTTATTGTTTCCTGGGCCTACACGAAAGAAAAGAGAAAGGATAAATTCATCACAGTAGAACTGTTTCAGACAATGATCTATTAACTATGTAACGTGTACAACTTTTTAATATAATAACAATAATCAGCTTGACTGCTTTCTTAATTGATCTTAACACTATGATAAGGCCATACTCTCTCGGCGGAAAGTGGTCCTTGTGGAAATATACTGTTATACTGTGCCAATAATCCCAAAAACAATTTCGAATTCATGGCAACAAAACAATACATCAGAGAAAACGCGGGTTTAAGTAGCCGGAGGTCAACATCGAGAACATTATTAGTGAACGTAAGACTAATAATTTTTTAAAAATAAAATAGGGTTTAACGACCCTAATTTTCTTCACCAAGGGGGATAATGAAAACGGACATATTATGCTATTCAGTGTGCCGTGAAGGACATTTTGACCGAATAGCAGTGTTCCCAATTACTTTTTATCGAATTCCAAAGAGTACGGGTAGACTAGATGATTCCGCTCCGTCCGGGAAACCTGACTAAACAATTACAAGCATCGGAATCGAACCAGGGATTTTCTGGTTAGTGAGCCATAGTCATATACGCACAAAGCCACCGTATCTATAACTAACCCAATGAAAATATGTCATACAATGTTAACACAGTGGCCCGATTCTGATCAACAACGAAGCCCAATAATACAGGGATATAACCGGGTCTATAATTTCACCTAAACTAAAGAAAATAAACCGGGAACAAGAGAGCGCCGTTGATATAAATTTCCAGACTTATACTTACGTTTCTTGTCTGCGATCTCACCTCGGTGGAAGCGGACGTTAAATAAAGCTACTTCACACACACACTTACGTTTCTTATGTTACCCGCGGCATTTGCTTTTTTCCGTTGGTTCATGAGTTCTGTAAAATACTGCTGTTCATATGGATTGAATCCATCCCCTTGTGGGTCATATATAACATTAGAATAATCTGTTCCTTGTGGTAAGAATCCTGACATGTCTGGTGATCCTATATCTATGATTTTATCTTGTAGATCACTTATAGCTGTAATAAGAAAAAGCAAACCGGATTACACCAGTGGGTCAAACTTACCCACAACGTTACACAATTTATAGATTCTCTTTACGTTTCCTGCTGAAGTCTGAAGCTGTGGATTTTATTCTAACAATGTGGATTGGTCATTTTGATATTATTGTTTTATTCACTTAGATTTCTGTTTATTTCTAGGACCTTATTCCTTGTTACCACGCCACTCGACCCAATAAGACTCTGTGCTGTAGAGCAAACCCGGCCACGGAATGAAATGTATCATGATAATCCAGATCGGGCTCTCTCAAATTATTAACAATTATTTTGTACATATTTTTATTTCCAGAAATTAAACTTCATCAAATCGGTGCCAACATTTTATATCCTTTAAATAGTAAAAGTTTTTATCATTATTATTATTATTTTATATAAAATAGCCTTTATAGTATAAAACAGTGCATTTTATTAAAGCCTATAGTGACCGATCAATTTAATAAAGCCGAAGACTGACCAGCATATATTCCGATAAAAAAAATAGTTTCGGCAGGAAAGCAAGGCCATCCAATACGAATGATAATGGATTGCAACGTACATTTTGTATGATCCTATGTTCCTGTTCTAATATAGTGTATGGACAACACTACTTAAACCATTTAGGGGAGCTACGGGAACTCACTAACCAAGAGATCCTGGTGTTGACCAAGAAAGTTCCTCGGGATTTTCCATTCTGATTTACCCTTGCATGTGGTGCAGGATGGAGGGCCAGGCGGAGAATATCTTCTAGTCGGATGGAGAGCGGAATAAACGGGGACCCTCTTCTTCATTAGTCCGGTTGGTGCCGAAAAATAGGATGTTAAACTCCATCTCATTTTATTCATCTGGTATGCAATAATATTTTCTATAGTTTTTCTTACCGTTCATTGCTACCATTATGTCTTTAATTGTAACAGCTTCATCTAGTGCTTTAAGCAGGTTATTACTTAGATCAACAGCTGTCTTTGATATGGCCGACTACAAATTAAATTAAAGATAAAAAAAAGTGTTGCCAAATAACGAACATACGCCCACCAGTAGCATTTTAAAGAGTGACTTTCAAATTTGCGGGGCCAGGGGCAATGGCTAGGAATCCCATTAAATCTGAAACTGAAAGACTGACTTGTAAACTTTTGCTAGGTTTCGATGACAGAACATATACTAAACAGCAAAAAAACGTCAGTAGGATTTCAAAATCAGAGAGGCACTTTAATCATATCATTCTAGAAAACGATCTAAGCAATTTTTTGTGAACAGTTTGTTGACACATTAGTGATTAATTCATCACAATTCAAAGACATTACGAGAAGGGTTAGAGTCTATACACAGTCTATACATCAGTATCTGGTCTGTCCACCGCGAGTTTCAATAACAGCAGAGCAGCGTCTGTACATGGAGTGGACCAGACGATTGCTGAATGCCACTGGCACCTCAAACCACACTCTCAGAAAAAGCCTGGTCCAATCTATCGGCTGTGTTTGGTCTTGGTACGACGTTTCATCCCAAAGATGACGTGCGAAATGTGGTATGACGTGGTGTCTGAGAGCTTGGTAGATGTAGCGCACTGCTGTGATGCCGCCTCCTCTCCCTGGACCAAGATTTTGGAACACCACAGGACCCACTCTCTGGTTCAGACCGATTCCACCCCAAACCATTATGCTGGAACCTCCCCATGAGTCTCGTTCCATCACACATTGTTCAGAATAATGCAGGCCACGTTGACGCCATATTCTGGTCCTGCCATCTGCAGTTGATACCCAATACCGAGTCTTATCTTGTGAACAGAACAATTTTCCATTGCCTGTGTCGCTAGTTCTGGTGTTGTTGAGCAAACTGTAAGACGTTCACGTCGATGGCGAGGATCGGTCCACGGTAAGGTCTACGACAATGGATGTTCTCTCTGGTGAGACGTCGGCGCACCGTATCGGTACTGATGGGTCTTCCGTGTGTTCCCACTGCTTGACGTGCTGTCTCCTTTGTCTACAGTCT